CAGTCAGGATAATTAAATGCATCTAAAATTTATTATGTTACTTTGTAAGTCCTACTTCCTTTCCTTTGTAATTCCCTCTCAGCCTTTGTCTTGTCCAAGGTAACCACTATTTGTCTTTCTATCAATATAAATTAGAAACATTTGCTAGAATTTTATATAAATAGAATAATACAACATATACTATCCCCTTCCTGGCTTCTTTACCTCAGCATACATTAGCATATATGGAGTTTATTTACTACTTTTGTTTATATGGGTCCTGTGATAGATATTTAGAACGTTTCCAACTACAGATTATTATAAATATCAAAACCTCTGTCTGAACATATGTTTTTATTTCTACTGAACACATGGCTAAAACTGGAATAGCAGAACTGGGCGGAAAAAGGAAGTTCAGTTTCTTTACAAATTACCAAATTGCTTGCCAAGGAGATTGCATAATTTAAAAACTTGAATTTTCCCACAGTGTGTGCATGGTCCAGTCCACTATGTCCTCATCAATACTTGGTAAAGGTATGAGGGGAGTAGTTTTATCCACCCAGTAGATATGGAATGATAATTCTGTTTTAATTTACATTGTCCCACTGAAACTAGAGCTCACTCACTTGTCTAGGGTCTGGGGATCTTCCTGTCTCTGCTTCCAAAGCACTGGGAGAACAGATGCATGCCCCCATGCTCAACTTTCTGTGTAGAGCCAGGGATCCAAACTCAGGTCCTGTGCTATGCAGCAAGCACTCATGCGGCTGAGCCACCTCCCTGATCTCAGTCTTTTGTATATCTATATGAGTGTTGTAATTAGTTAACTAACCTTTTAAAAAGCTGACTGGGACTTTGAGAGTGCAACCAGTCAAGCAAGCTTCTCTTCAGTAGAACTGGCATTGCAAAATCATTCTACAACTGCACAAAGTAAATCTTACCATTACTTCATCCTCAGTTTCTCTCAACTATGTCTTGGCATTTTCAGTATATGAACTGCTTACATCTGTAGATTTATTCCTAAGTAATCCTTTTGAAATTATAAGTCAAATTCTACATTAAATTTTTAAAATTTAGAATGTTACTGTTTTATAGAAACACAGTTGAGTTTTATACCTTGAACTGCAATCACATATAACTGTCTTCTTTGTTTTACTAGCTAGATTATACATATCATCTGTAAATAATGAGTCACACTTTCTATTCTAGCTGACTTTACTTCTGTTCCTTGCCTTACTGAGCTGTCTATAATCAGCAATGTTCACCACTGGTGAATGTTGAACAAAAGTAGATCTCAGAAAGAAAATAGGAGTCAGTTGTTTATTCCAAAGCATTATGTCAGCTGTTGGTTTTTCTATGATATCTTTTATGAAATTAAGGAGAATAGGCTCAGCATTAGGACCTGAGTTTGATTCTCAGCACCCACATTGGGCACGTTACAACTGTCTGTAACACCAACTCCAGGGAGATTTGATGCCTCTAGCTTCTGTAGGTACCTGCATTCATGTGCACATACCCCTTCATTAATTCATATATATATATATGAATAAAAATAAAATCGTTTTAAAAACTTAAAGAAAAGTAAAGGCACCCTTTTTAGTGGGGAGGTTGTGGGATGGAACACAGGAGCTTGTGGATGGTTAGCGTGCATCCTATCCTTAACCAGCACACTGCGCTCTAGGGGATTTCTATCCCTAATAGGCTGAGACTGTTTAACCAGCATTTTCATTTTAGAGTCTATGAAAATGACTTTTAGGTTCCAGCTCATTAATATAGTAAAGTATAATAACTATTAGATGTTAATCCAACCTTGAATCCCTAAAATAACTATTTGGTCATTACCAAATAATTTAAATAGGGTTAGTCCCCTTCCAAACTCACATTGAAATGTGACTGCCCCTGTGGCAGGGTTGGGTGCTGGGTCCCATGAAGTTACTAGGTTTAGAGAGGGAATTGTTTTCCAGGAGTGGATTCATCCTCCAGGCTCCTTCTCCTGGCTTGCCTCTTCAGCTCAGCTGCATACCCTTCCACTCTTCTGATGAGATATGACACAGCATGACATTCTCACTATGTAGCAACACCATGTCCTTGGACTTGGCCAACTCCAAAAGACTCACACGCCAACAAAAATCTCTACCTTCTGTATATCAGCCAGTCTCAGGCATTCTCAGCAACAGAAAATGGATTTAGGCAGCTAAAATATTTGTTAGAAGTAGGTTAAGGTTTTTACATCTATATTCATAGATGATACTACACTATAGTTTTCTTTGTCTACATAGTTTTCTTTGTGTAGTTTTGATTTCAGGGTACTTCTCACTGTTTTGGATAGGAAGGTAAATTATGTCTCTGTTACTCCATCTTAGCCAAAATATCTGCTACACAGCTACCGTCATCATCACATCCACCCCTCCTACAAGTAGCACCTACCATTACTGTCATCACATAGACAGAGAACCAGTTAACAGGGGAAACAGAAGCCCAGGGTGCCGTGAGAAACAGTTGTTATTGTTTCAAAAGCATGACATTAAATTTGAACCACGACAATAGGCATCTAAAATCCACTTCACTAATCTTCCACTATAGTCAAGCACTTCAGTAGTATTTAGCAGATTTTCTTTAAACACATAAGTATCTTTTTAAAAATCATGACAAGAAGTCTGCAGAAGGGACACAGAGTGTGACCAGGGCCCGTATTTATCACTGTGGTATCTGTTAAAGAAAAAGACACTGTGCTTTCTTATATCTTAGGACCTATTAACTACAGAACACATTGAAAAATATACCTTAAAAAAAGAAAATTTAATCCAGCTTGAAAGAGTTTCATAAGGATATTCTATGATCCTCAAAGACAAAATAATAACAGTGATGATAAATATTGCCATTTTAAAATTGTACCTTACCCAGAGAAATACACTATGAAATAGGTATTTCTATTCTATACAGTCACTGACATTTGGACGACAGCACTGAGAACTTCACATAAAGTCTGCCTCCCCTTACACAGACTGGCAAGTATCAGACAAGCCTCTGCAGCTCAAGAGGAAGCTCTGCAATTTTGCATTTGGGCTTTTGTTTGTTTGTGTTTGGATTACAACACTGTCACCCTTAAGAAGCAAGAAACTCTGCCAAGGGCCTTTGGAAACAAGGAAATTTCACCATCAGAACCATCAGAGTCTAACAGAGATCAGGCCAAGTAAATGCAAGCCGATCCTTGAGGATAACGTGACAAGTGGGACTTATCAGTGAGATCTGCTCTGCTTCCTTTCTAAGGCAAGGGTTCCCATTGGTAAACTAGCACAGTGCTTGTCTAGATTTCAAATGGTCTACAGTGGATGTGGTTCAGTTAGCTTGGACTACCAACTATTGGTGATGATGTGAAACTCCTCTTGAGAGTAAAACAAGAGGAGAGAAAGAAACCCTAACAGTTATTCCAATTATTTTAACTTTGTGAGCAGAGTAACTGAGCCTACCTGTTTAAGACATTGTTAATGGTCAAATACCTACCCATTTCCCCTCATTTTATGGGACCTTGGCAGTGTGCAACCTTGTAGCCTTGTGTACTTTCACCTATAAAGTGGAGGTGGTAGTTTTACCTCTTCTGTGTTTGAGTTCTGTCTGATACACAGACAACACAATTCCTGTGCCTGAGGCTTAGGAATCACTGGGGAAGGTAGGGAGGAAAGACGCAAAGGAACAGAAAGTTTGCTGTGGAATCATGGTGGTTAGAAATGTCAGAGAAGTCAGAAGTCTCACCAACACAACTGCCTAAACATGACCTGAAAAAGGATGAAATCAATAGATGTGCTAGTGTGGAATGAGAAAAGCCCATGAGGCTTCAACACTCTACAGGGAACTATAGACAACTTGTGTTGAGGGGGAGAGAAATACTCTTCTCCAGAGAAGAGCAGTCCAATGGCTTAGTCAGTAACCGAATATTCAGCCCTGAAAACATATACATACAAGTAACATTATATGAGCTGAGCAGATTATATTTATATATTTAGGAATTATATACAATCATGTGCATGCACACATGTAACACACACATACACACACACACACACAAACCAATTAAAGAAAAAGAGGCCATGAATTTGGAAGAGAGCAGGGGGTTGGGGAGCAATAGGGGCTTGAGGGAGGAAAATAAAAGGAAAAATAATGTAATTATAAAATAATCTCAAAAAATTGAAAATTATTAGAAATAAAACACAACAAAGAAATTTAACAACAAAATCATTTAGCATAGCACCAGACACTTGGATGGCACTGTTTAAATTTTGTTATCAATAAGTTACTATTCCTATAGTTATAAATAGGGAAAAGTTACATAAATAATTTTTGGAGACTCTTCAGTACAAAGAACAGTTGCAAATACCATAATAATAACTTTAATGTTTCTCAATGCTTATTTAGTTAAAAACATGGTTCTATAATTCTAACACACCTATATTAATGTCCTAAAAATGCTATTAGGAAATGGCATCAAGTATCTTCTGTAAGTATGCAAGTAACTGTAAAATACCAACAGAAACAACCAGACACAATTTATTGAACTAAAGCAAATCAATCCATTATACAATATAAAGTATATACTATGTGCTCAGCAGAATACAATCTTCTTCTCAGGATCCAAGCCTTACAACTCTTAAGCAACTTAAAATATTATATAATTAAAATAAAGTACACATTAGAATAGACAGATGAAGCAAAATGCAAGTACACGCCAGTGAGCAGCACGTAACACAGGAAGAAATCCTCTTAAATTTTTTTTTACATTTATTGTGTGTGTGTGTTTTTATGTATAAACATAAACACATCTGTGCTACAGCATGCTCTGAAGATCAGAGATGCTTAGAGTGGATTCTCCCCGGAAGGTAGGAACTCTCAAGTACCACTAAACTTGGTAAGCTCCACTGACAGACTAAGATTCTTTATATATATATGATGCTGGCTTCAAAGGAAAGTTCAAATGTCTGGTATGTCATTTATGGGGTATCTGCAGGAGAGATGTAGCCATAACTTACTGTTGCTATTCTGGTGCTGAGAAAGTTCTGCCTTTCTTCATCTACCATAATTTCCTGTGCAGTTTTAAATAATTCAAGCATTTTGGGGATGTCACGGCCAACGGAATCTGGTTAGAAAAATCAGAAAAATCTACAATTATTACATTATCTAAACAAGTAGCAAAAATTAATGACTGAAATAAACATGAATCCTGTGTGAAGAAAGAGTGAATAAGCTGTGGCAGACAGATGTCAGAGTGGTCACTATGGCCCCACTTCTAGTTCATGGCCTTGGCTGCTCTTCTCCCACTGGGTGTGGATGAGGCCTGCAAAGTTTCATTATATAACTCTACAGTGCCTGTCTTGGAGGAGACTCTTCCTTATTGGCTTTGAAGAAGCTGTAAGTCTGTGTGCTAACATATGGAGTGGACAATAGACCAAGGAACTCCAAATGTAGCAATAACTGAAGCCTTAGTCCAGCAGCTTACAAAGAACCAACTTCTGCCAAAAAGCATACGGGTCTAGAAGTAGATTGTCAGTCAGACTGGAAGGAGAGAGCCAGCTCCAGAGTTCCCTCTGACCTCTGCACATGCACATGTGCCTCCCTTCTATCATGTACACATACACACAAACACGATGAAAAACAGGAGTTTTAGTATGAAATGTTAATGTAAATGTAAACCACAGTTGTCTTGAAGCTTTTTAATTTTCTTACTGAAAAATAAGGTAATTTAATCCATATTTCCCTTCCCTCATCTCTTCCCAGATCCTTCCCACCTCCCCACCTTTCCAACTCTAGACTCTCCCTCCCTCAATGAATCTCTCAATATTTCTCTCTGTCCCCCTCTTACCTCCCCAGCCCCAAGAAAAAACAGGCAAATAAAAAAGACAAACAAGGATTAAAACAAAAATTAACAAACACGTACAAAAAAAGAGCAGAAGAAATACGCACTTGCAGACACACGCGCGCGCGCATGCACACACACACACACACACACACACACACACACACACAGGGACCCCATCTGGTTTGGATTTGTACAGTATCTGTGAGTTGTGTGTCAGTACTTTTATGTCTAGAAGACACTGTTTTCTTGGTATCATCCATGCCCTATCGCTCTTAAAATCTTCCTGCCTCCTCCTCTTCATAATTCCGAACCCTGAGTGGGCATTCCACAGGCATCTCATTCAGAACTGAGTGCTCCAGTGTCACTCACTCTACACATTGCCCAGTTGTCCCCATCTCCTGCTGGAGACACTGTCTCTGATGATGGCTGAATGAGACACTAATTTGTGGTAGAGAAAAATATTGTTAACAGTCATTTTATTTCTCCTTTTAATTCTTTCTGATTCTGTTTCATATATTTTGGGGCTCTGTCTGTAAATGAGTTTGTCCTTTTATTATTATAGATCATCCAACTTTTCTCCAGTATCTGTTCTCATTTTAAAGATCTATTTTTGTCTGGCATTAATATAGCCAATGGCATTCTCTTACTTTTCTTTTCATGGTTTATAATGAATGTTTATTTGTTTATTCAAAGTGCCACTGTACAAAGAGCCTGATCTCTCCCTATCTCATGCATTGTGTTTTGCTTGGAGCGTGCAGTCCATTTCCAGCTGACATGTGTGTTCTACTAGTTCATCATGTCTTCTCCTCTGCTCCTCCTATACAGCCATTTTTTGTCCTAAACAAACAAAACCATGTCTCTTTTATCTCACTATTTAGATTTAAGCCATGTGCCTTTTAATCACTCACCTTGTTTGAAATCACAAACTTCTTCATGTTAATATGAATATGTACAGATAATCTCTTTTCCTTGGCCATCGTTACTTTGTGATAAGTGTCATGCTAAAACCTGGTTTACTTCCTGTATATTTGTATTTAGAACAATATCCACTATGCTACTTATGACCAAAACTAGAGAATCATTCCAGATTCCTTTACACTTCATATTACATTGATTCTTCAACATCCCTCAACAACCTTCTCCTGTCTTTACTACCATTGCAAATGTATTCTTTCCTCTTTTATCCGGACTACAACAGCCTTCCCAACATTCTCCATTTAACTTTCTACATCCTTACATGCATCCCATGACTTACATACTCCCAGAGTATTCATTCTAATAAGAAAAGTATATCTCCTGGTTCTGAACATCATTTTCAATGGTTCTTGTCTACATGGAGGATAAAATCTAATCTCAGTGGAATGGTACAGAAAACCTGCTGTCTATCACTATCTAACCCCAATATCTGATAACACTCTATGTCCAAATGACAGAAAGCAGCTTAGAGCTTCCTGAATACACTCACTCTTGCTTGACTTCTCTACATTAATGAAGCCATTGCTACTGCCTCGAATGTAGTCCACACGTTAGGAAAGCAAATACCTATTCATGATTAACCTCTCACAACTGTTCTCTTTTTTACGTAATTTAGAAGCAGTTACTCATCCCCATAAATATGTTGTATATTTCCCAGTACCCACAGCATTTTAATGCTTAAGTTTATTCTTCTGTCGTTTTTGTCAATATGTATTTTCTTAAAAATGTGAACTGACCTTTAGTCTTTCAATTTTCAGAACACAGTTGACACTCAATAATTACACACTTATTTAACAAGTGGCCCATAACGACAGAACTGACATATGGAAGCATGTGTAAGTTCCCCTAAAGCAATCATGCAAATGAATAACCACTTTTAGGAATCTTAGGAAATTGCTCTACACCAAGTATGGACTTTTTATCTGCCTAATTTGTTCTAAACTCTGCTTACATTATCAAAAAAAAAAAAACTATTGTGCATTTGCTAACATGAAAGCTGTTTTGTAGATAAAAATGAATGGTTCCCAGTGGTTCTCTGTGTCCATTTCCTTGTTACAGAGTTCACTTAAGGTCACAGTAAAGCATAAAGCCAAGGCTGAGACACTCTATTACTCTGCCCTTTTTTTCGGCAGGGGCAAACATCCGGATGCTGTGCTGCCAATCCCTTTACCGACATCCACTTGCTCTCGCTTTCTTTCCTGTGTTTTACACTCTCTCCTTTCCTCCTCACCTTTCTCCCTCCAACGCTCTCTACTGTTTCCATAATCAGTGCAATTCAGTCCTTCTCACTAAAGTATCTATTCTTTTCTCCCTCCTCCGGAGAAACATAGAAACAAGCAAGGAAGTCAGGAAAGAAAAAAGCTAGGAAAGAAGTGAGGAAGGAAGGAAGTGAGCTAGAATTAAATGTGCTTGAGTTTTAGGAAATTGTGAAAACTAAGATCTGACATTTGAATTTAGAGGAAACAAAGATCAGTGAGCACAACTGGGAGCGCTGTTTTAGGAAACTGTGGCAGAGGTGGCTGGAAGTAAAACTGTTTGGTAAGGAAGCGGAGGAAACAACTTACTGAGGGCAACTACGTCTAAAGACTGGTGTAAAGACAAAGAACTAAGACTACACAACCAGGACAGGTCGGCCACAGGAAGGCCTGAATGGCAGGTGAGTGCTCTCTGTCTGCGTAGACAAATCTGAGGTGATGGAGTGCTGAAGTTAGCTGCATAAAGTGCAATCGCTAGTTCCGTAACAGCAAAGGCTTGTTTTTCCTCGGTGTTCCATCCAGTTAAGCACACACCAGATGTTCAATTAGCATAGACACAATTATTTTTTAAAATGTATAAATTATACTTAATCCATGGTTCAGTCAAGTTATTAAGTCTGTATCTTCTTTCAACTGAATCCTGCATTAAACAGTCATTAACTGTGCAAACATTTTAGAGTAAATATCCTGGGTCATATGCTATGATAAAATTAAGGTATCTTTAATAGTAAGAATTGAACACATATTGCAGACAGACACAAAAATAAATAAATAAATAAATAAACAAATAAATCCAAAGACCCAAGAAAGTAAAGAATTCAGCATGTGTGAAAAACAGCACAGCAGTCTCCAGGGCTAAAATAATGAAACCACACTTCACAGGAGTATTAGCCGTAAGACACTCATAATTAATCCACTATTATAAGGGTACCTACTTGTTCATGGATTCTTTAACAGATGAATAGTTTTTAAACTAGTGGAGGGGTTGGGGGGTGGGAAGTAGAGACTTGTTTTTGTACTTTTCCTTCAGTAATACAAGTAATACTTGGGAGCACAGAATGTTCTTTCAAGACCTGAAGGGTACATAAAGTTTTTGTAATGTTAGCATTTATGAGTCTTATCCATGATACGGGAGCCACCACTTTACAAAAAGCAGACACAGAAGATCCCTGGAGCTCACTGCCCAGCCAGCCTAGCCAGGTTAGTGACAGACTATGACTCCAAACCTAAGTGGAGAGTGACAAGGAAGAATCAGACATCCCCCTCTGACTTCCACATGCATGCACATATATGTACTCACACACCTCAGTATATGTGCACATGAACACACACACACATCATATTAAAGCAAACATGTCTACAGAGCTCTTGGAGAGGTCAGGGGCCAGCGAAATGAAGCCAAATTCCTTTGAAGCAAGTTTAAATATTTTTCATGAAGGAGAGAGAGAGAGAGAGAGAGAGAGAGAGAGAGAGAGAGAAAGAAAGAGAAAGAGAGAGAGAAAGAGAAGTACTAAGAAACCAAGCCAAACAGAAATCTGGAAAAGTGAAATTGCCTATAGTAATATAAGAAATTAAAATAAAACATGCTATGAAATGTACATATTGGATCCAGCCGAGATGGCCACACCCACTCCTGTTAGTAAAACTGAGGCATGATGGGAACCGATGAGCTCAGTTGCAGTGTCTGGTTCTCACTGTAGCTTCTTAGTTTCTATTTTACCTTAATGCATTTTGTTGGATCTAGGGGGAATCAACCATTTAAAAAGAGAATCAAAGCAATCTCTAAAAATGCACAATACAAGCTCCATCTGCTCTCATGCACATCTGGTGTGTCCTGTTTCAACATTCTGACAGGCTGAGTTTGTTTTCATGCCTAAAGAACACAAATGTTTTGCTGGTTCTGTTGAGCAGACCCTGTGCAACTGAAAGAAACATTAGTGAAGGGGGCCCTGTCATTCTTCCAGGTGCCTTGTTAAAGCACCTTTGGGGGAGGGGTCACACACACTAAGGACACCCATGGTAGGTGGAAGGTGTGGTTCATCATGAAAGTAGAAGTAAATCCCCCTGACAAAAAGAAACATTTTAACAGGAAACTTGCCATTTGGAATAAAGAAGTTATTTGAACACCTTCTTAGACTTAGCCACAACAGGAGTGCTAATTAAAAGTGAAACAGAAGTGGAACCCAGTGGGTTCTAGAGAGCAGCAAAGGCGGAGCAGTACAGCAGTTAGTGCCTGACAGACAGCCGAGCTGGACAGCAGCAGCCAGTGGTCAAGCAGGCACAGGCGGGCACCGTGAGCCTCACCTGTCACTGCCTCCATTAGCATCGCTGACTACAACTTGAGCTTAATTAGAAATTAAATCTGTTTCTGGGAAATATTTTCTCTAAGTTGGTCTGCAAATCTCCCTTTTTTCCCTAATAATATTCAATTTCAGGTCTAACTTAAGAAAAATGTGAATCTGATTCCATAACAACAAAGGCAGCTGAGATGGAAATCTCTATCAAAAACGCTGAGTCTCACCCACTTCTAATACCAGTGTGATTTAATGCAGGCTTCAAAATTAACAAAACCATAGTACATACAATAAAAGAACTTGAGTCCCTTTGAATCATTCTTAGTTAGACTATAAGTAAATATCTTAATAGCTAATATGTATGAAAAATTTTAGTTAATGTTTTTTTATCTCTACTAGAGTTGAAATTTGAAAGAAAAAAAACGGATTTTAAAATCCTTGTTTTATTTGCAGTACCTAACAGAAAACACACCAGACATCTAGAAGCACCTACAACAGTTGCACCTGTTCTGTGTGTGTGCTTGTACACATGCCCCTGCCTCATTAAGGATACCACCGTGTGTCACGGGAACCCACAGGGCAAGCCTCTCTTTCCCTCTCAGCTACCTCCTTCCTATTCAGTCAGAAGTCCTGTCTTTAACTTGTCTCTCCTGGTTCTCACCACACAGAACTAACTGACTTTGAACACTGCCCCTATATGTCTCCTGTCCTTGCAGTCTAACTGGGCTCCCTACTCCAGTTCCAGTCCTAACCAGTATGTCTCCCACCACACTAGAGAACAGATGATGTTATATCACACCTTCCACCACCTGAATGATTCATGCTGAATCGACAGTAAGTCCAATCTCATTAACTCCTAATTCAAAGACTTCCTCAAAACAGCATCAATCCTCCCCAACATCAGTTCCCATTATTCACTACCGTATCAATGTGGAGCCAAAAGGACCTAACCGACACTCCTGGGAGCCGGCCCATCCTTTCTAGCCTACTTCAGGGCTATGCTAATATAATATATTCTTTCTACTTAAGTCTCAGTCAGTTCATCTGACTACACTGGAATATTTTAATGTCACCTCATTTGTGATGTACTGCTGAGGTCCCCAGCGAGATTATAAGCAAACCCTGGTCAATATCCACAGTACTTTAAGAACTGATCAATTTGTATCTTTCATTTTGTTACACAGCATTTATGCAACATTACTTCTTGCACCATACTTCTTTTTTGTTGTTGGGTTGTTTGTTTGTTTGTTTGTTTGGTAGAGACAGGGTTTGTCTGTGTAACAGTCCTGGCTGTCCTGGAACTTACTTTATAGACCAGGTTCACCTCAAACTCACAGAGATCTGCCTGCCTCTGCCTCCTAGGTGCTGGGATTTAAGGTATATGCCATCACTACCCAGCTTCTCTTGTATTTGTTAGGAAGGAAGTACTCATAAAGAAAAATTCTACTAATCAGAAACCCTTCTAGAGCCAAGCACTCATATATAGGTATTTACGTACAAGCTGAATTCTTAAATGAGTATATACATTATATTGATAAAGAAATAGAAAAGTTAACAGAACGTCATGGTCTTAGCTGGTATTGCGTTCCAGTAATGTACAGCTGAATTACACTCCAGCAATATCAATGTCAAAGAGGAAAATAAAATATACTTATTCTTACAACATCAATCTCAAATATCAGGCATAACATTTGGTCTACAAATATTAGCAGCTTTGTTTTTTTTACAAACAAAAGTATAAAGAGAGTTGCTGATAACAATGAAAGAAGAAAACGCCTCCTTACTTCTAGTAGCCTTTGGGAATCTTTTTTTCAGTTTCTTCTTTAAAGGGTTAAGTTCACCCATTATTTCTGGGACAGCTACATAAAAGTCCACGACAACCTCGTCATCCAAGATCTAAACACCAGAGGAAGAATACACAAAAATTTTTACCGTTTTAGACATAAGCAATTTCATCATGATTAAAAAAGGAACTATTATGCATATTTTTCTTCAAACACAGAATTATATAAATACAGTCACCAGTTGCAAAAAACATCAGAAGCAAAACACTTTGATATTTTTTAAAAATAGCTGCATGTATTTTTTAAAAAATTAATGGTTTTAATTCTGCTGTGAGATTATGCTAGGCAAAATGCAGTTACAAGGTAGAACACAGCATCAATGTGCCCAACTCATAGAAACCTCACAAGGCAAAATTCATGTCTGTTAAAGCTGATGAGAGAGAAACATTTCTCATTAGATCACAAGCAAAATAGCTCCTAGTTGCCAAATTCACTAGCAACCACTGACTTTCTAAACTTAGTGAATCAAACGAACTCAATTTATCATTATGTTCACAAAGATCTGAGTTAAAATTTTCCTGTTACCAATAACTAAAACCAAAAGGACAAAGATACCAAAGATACGCCCACTCACAACTTATCAGACAAACACTATTCTGATTCTCAGAACAAAGGGATTGATAGTCGGGCTTTACTGGATTGGTTGATAAATTCAGGCTGGTTCCCAAAATACTTATACAACCATACCATACTCCACTTAAAAATTCAATTGATAATAAAGTAAAGCAACTTTTTAAAACAAAATATTGCCAAGGTGCAAATCTTTCACCAGTAACAACTATTTTTTTTTTTTTTTTACATGAAACCTTACCCATCCAAAGCCTTGGTTGGGATTAATGAATTCAGAAAAACTGAACTCTGGAAATATTAGGCTATATTCTGGGATTTTATCTTCCTGTTACTAGTGTATCTTTGGATAACATTCTGTGCCTCTCTTAAAAATAATGGCATATAAAGTGAAAACTTGTGTGTCGTGAATTCTGCACATATTTTATACAGTTTACTTCATCCAATCCTTCAAGGCAGGTATTAAAATTAACTAAATATTTCAGACGAGGAACCTAGGGCCTCGTGAGAAGCCAGCACGTGTCTCTTAAAAGAAGCGCCTGCATTCAAACACAGGGAGTGGGGTTCCAGAGCCAGGGTCCCCATCCCCAAGAACATGAAGGAAACAAAGACAACTTTGAAATGCCAAAGAACATTGTGTAAGGCTTTCATTAACTAATTCTAATTCTATAATATGTTCCTTTAAGTTAAAAATTATCTGTGAATGCTGCACTACAATTCACCTTAGGAACACATCTTAGAATAATACAAATCAGTAGATAAAAATTATGCTTTTGCAGACAAGAAAAAAACCATTATGTTCAAATCTCTCTGAGCCAAATATATGTGTGACATTTCAAAATAAAATGAATTTAATAACTAAATTAAGATCTTAGAAATAATTCAAAGTTCAGTAAGTATAGCCTACTTTAGTTTCTTTCTTTAAAAAAAAAATTTTATTTTTATTTTTTATGGTTATGTAAGTTTTGCTTGCATGTAAGTCTATGCACCACCACATGCATTCCTGGTGCCCATGGAGACCAGAAGAAGGCATAGGATTCTCCAGAACTGAAGTCACAGAAGGTTATGACCCACCATATGAGTGCTGGGAACTAAACCTGGGTCCTCCTCTACAAGAGCAGCTGTACTCTTAACTGCGGAGCCATTTCTCCAGCTAAATGCTAAGGAGGACAGGATACTAATTGAGGAAAGCAGGAATAGGGGCTTAGAGTATTATTGGTCTTAGAACACTTGCCTACCTGCCTAAGGCCCTGGGTTCAACCTCCAGTACTGCAGTAAATGAGTAAATATAAATGTATAGAAACGTGCTTGACAATCAACAGCCATAATGTTACCTGAAAACTCTGTTTTGAACTTACTTCATAACCTGATGAATACCTTCTATAAATATCAAGGAACGCTTTCACACATGTGATAGAAGAACCTCCTGGTTAAGATAGCTTACCCAAGCAGAACTGTTCCTCTAATACATTCAGCACTGAGGCTCCTAAAGGAAAATTACGTACCTATAATATTTATATACCAAAAGTCACGATTAGATTTCCTTATTTGACTTTCTCTTTCCAGGGCTTCCTTTAGGAACAATAGGGCTGTGCACCACAATCCCTCCCCCCACCCCCACTGCTTTATCCTTGAGAATGTCCTTTCTGTCCATGGGCTGCAGGACTGGCTATGGCAGCTGTGACACTCTCACAGGGTCGGAAGGAAGTTGGTGAAAGGTGGCAGCACACACTTGCTGAGGTTAGTTTTCTGGCTGCGGAGACCAAGCCCCACGTTCAGATTCCCAAGTGCCTACAGTATATTCTTTATCAACTAAAATGCTGTTAGTATTTTTTAAAGAATTAAAATGATATACCAGAAAGAACAAGATACTATACTTGTTTTAAAGTAAGATTCATTCCTACTCTCCAGTAAGCTCACTGGAAATTTGACTTAAGGTTTTACAAAGGCCTGTGGGCCTTTCCTTTGCTGCTGGACTGGCTCAGCAAGTTCAAGGCCAGACCAAGACATGCTTACCCCACGACCTTAAAATAAGGGAGGTAGATCTTCAAAGCACCCCTCAAGGAGAAACTGGGCTTCAACTTCCTGAGTTCCCACCTCTGTTTTGTGGAGGCTCTTTCCCTCTGTCTTGTGGAGGCTCTTTCCCTCTGTATTGTGAGTGGATGTGTTTCCTCACCCCAGAAAAGCTTTTCTCCAACTGCTGACTGTGTCTGCTGCTAACTGTTGCCCTTGTGAATGTTCCAGGCTTTTAAACCTTTAACAGGCAAAGAAAAAGAATGCCTTACTGGTAACAAAACTACTTCCACAAGGGAACATAAAATGGGGGTTAACCAACTCTTGTGTTTCCTGGGCCTTGGTCACTCAAATTGAATCCAAAATAAACTATCTTCAATTCCCTTTAAAAGGAAATTAAAATCACCATCAGACTTAGAACACTACTCAGCTGCCAAGTTCCATAAAGGACTAGCCCCGTAAGTCACGCAAAAACTCTGTATGTTTAACAAAGGATACATTTTCAAATCAGTTTTCCTAGCTCCCTCTTGCCCACTTCAATCCATAATAAAATTTAAGAAAAAGAAGGACTCTTCTTTAAAATATTTAGGAAAAGCTTTTGTGATTTTACAAATAACTATATGCCTCTTCCTACTGTCCTTCAAAAAGGGCTCCCCAGGCTCTTCCTTCCTGAGGTGGGCTTCTTATTTAGTCCTCAGTGAGCGCGCTAAGTCCAATTCAAGTGGACAGGGAGTAAATGTTCAGAGGAAATACCATACTACAGAGATTAAACACCAAAAAAATGATACTTTCACTCCCAGAAAGAAAAGGACACTTGGTTTTAAAAACATGAATGAAACATTCATGTGTACTAATATTTGGATTTCATTTTAAATTTCACATTCAAAACCTGAGTAATATTGGCCTGTATGTTTTATTCACAAAACTTTCATTAACCACAGTAAACTATAAACAAATCAAAGAATGAAGTAATCAATGATTAAGAGCTTCAGTGGCTTTTTCTTAGGTTTGAAACTGAACAAAGTACAAAACATTTCCTCTTTTGATGAAGCCTACTGTTTTGGAGACATATAACCCTAGTGACCATGTGCAAATGTGAAAAGTTAATGCATACGGCTGGGAGATGTACAGGCTCAGCACGTAAGAGAACTGGCTGCTCTTCCAGGGTACCTGGATTCAATTCCGAACACCACATGGCAGCTAATAACTGTAGATAACGGTGGTCCCTAGGAATCCCACACCTTCTTCTATCCTCCAAGGACAGCAGGCACACATATGAAGTATAGATTTACATGCAGACAAAACCCTATAAACACTAAATAAATAAATAAATAAATAAATAAATAAATAAATAAAGGAAGTAGCGCTATGAGAACAATCTTTATAAGAAATGAACATAAAACACAGCACCTTGGTAACCAGATCTGTGCCTCCTGCAAATGCAGCTCCGTTTTCTTCTGCTATTTTAATTTCTGATGCATTCTACCAAAACACAACAGTTTACACATTATTTTTAAACATATTCATTATATTGACGATAGCTATCAGAAATATCAATTAAAAGTAAAAATTGTTTTAAATTTTAATTTAAAATACACCAATTTTTAAGTACATGCATTAGATACATTCTATTCTGAAAACTTTAGTCTATATGTCACTGGGGTATTTGAGTGACAGCAGAAATACACCTTGATGTCATATAAAGAACCTAGCAAGTGTCGGGAGGCAGAGGCAGGAGGATCACTGTGAGTTCAAGGCCAGCCTAGTCTAAACAGCAAATTCCAGGACAGGCAGGATTCTGTAGAAGACTCTGTCTCAACAAACAAACAATAAACAATCTAGCAAGTGACAAATAGCTGGCTATGAATATACACACCTCTCAAAAGTAAAAACTTAAAATATCATTAATCTTACTAACTTACATTTTATAAAACTGATGGGGGGAAAAATTTAACTCAAAAAAATCAAGACCCAAAATGTAGCCAGCCACACCTGCCAACTTCTACAGAAAAGCAATGTTTGTGGTTATCCTGGCACATGTCCCACTTCGATCATTTTGTTTTCTGGGAATACATGTCACTCCCTTAGTTACTGCAGCACTGTGGCACTCTGACAACTAGAATTTTCCCACTCACTGGAAAGAACACATTGTCTTCCTCCAGAGGAAAGCAAAGAAAATTTGTAAAGTTTCAGTTATGAAATTCAGATGGTAAAGAAGGGAAAACCTAAGCAAACGCATTAGCACATCATAAACAAATGTCAGCAACATAGAAGCCCGCCAAGCTGGACCCCATGGCCGCCTTCCCGTGGCTGCTGGCACCGTGAGCAGGCATCTGTTTAAGCTGTGCTTTTGGAGACACACAGCACTGGTCTCTGTTGTGTGCTTCGGAGGAGCATGAGTAGGAAGCTGGAGACACCTGACAGAGCCTACAGCTCCCTTCAGGCTCTCTAGAAAAGCACTGCTGTGATCGGTGCTAATGATGGCAGCAGTCAGTGTTTGATGAATCGCTCCCTCAGACCAGTGGTGCAACCATAGAGGTAACCTGCTTTGCACTTTAAAGAACTGATAGGAATTCAGGATTTTTCTCTAATTACATTCCATTACTCTGTTTATTGACTAGTGTAATCTCTTAAAAGTTAAATTAAAAAACTGTTGACTAAGTTACTTACCCCTGTAAAGACAGCAACTTTGTTGACGTCTGCCAAGAAAGGGTGTGGGAAAGCAATAACACTGGCAAATGGCTCCAATTTTTTCTAAACACATAGGGGGTAAATAATTACAAAAAGTTTATCTTCTCTATTATTTTCTGCATTCTATTAAAAACAGAACTGACTTTTTTTTTTTAATTTTTGAGGTTGTTTTGGTTGTTTGGTTGGTTCATTGGCTGGATAGATAGGGTTTTCTACTGGACTCAAAATCAAGATCCTCCTGCTTCAACTTCCTGAATGCTGGGAATACAGGAATGCACCACCATTCTCAACTCTGGCTTTTAAATCTTTTAATCTACGATAGGTCCATCCCTTTATTCCTTACTATTTTCTGATTATAATTCAAAGCTCAGGAGATTATATATTTCCTTATTGAAGAATAAGAATCTACCTCTCTGTGTGCACCACACCCCATTTCATGAGGTCTCTATGTAAACCATTTCTCATAGGTTCTCAATGTTGTGAGTGTATTCATATCTGTCCCTCCCTAGCAACCTGTACAACAGTTTCCATTTTTTGAGTGTCAACAGAAGTTTGTTACCTTGGAGTAAAAGTTTAAATGTAGTTTTCAGACTCAAGGAAGATGATAAAAACACCTAGACATCCTGAACAAGGACAGTGTGCAACTGACCTGCTTAGTACTTCACCCTTAGTGGACTCCATGGCTCTGGGCAATTATAACAGAAACCCTAGATCTACAACAGAATGCCAAGAGTAAAAGGGTCTTCTTGGAGGTCTACTATAGTGTAACTGAGATCACCATCCCTTTCAGATATGTTTGAGAAGTGAACTGAAAATTCCAAAATAAACAATGCATCATTTGGCACACTCACAAGTACAAATCCTGTAAGACCTCAGAATTAATGTCTTCAGTCATTTTGGTGAAGAACCTACCTAGATCTCAGGATCAGACCTCTGAGTAGAGTTCATATGAAAACAGGTTCTAGGCCCTTCATGTGCTTGGCAGGAGAAAAAAAGGGATGGTTTCTCTGATAAAACTGATTGAAAGTTTATATTTAGAAAAGTTTTTCCAAGTAGCAACCCCCTCCTAGGGATTTTTCAGACCAGAAGGCATAAATAAATTCTTAACTACCCTTTACATTAGCTATCCATAGACTTATTGATTGGCACTCCTATTAACACATCACAACTGATTTCGGTAAGGTCTCCAGCAGTAAACAGCCACCACACTAGCATCCCCTGGTGAGTACTGACTCACTATACAATTCTTTGGCAAGAAGCATTAACAACAGCAAACATAGACTGTTCCCAAGTGCTCAAGGCCCTGTGCTCAGTTCCCATCACAGAGGCAATGAAATAGAGCAAACATAAGACAAAGACTATATTGTTAGTATCATGAGCCTATAAGTAGACTCCATATTCAAAACGGTGCCTGAGGTCCCGCAAGACATTGAACTATATGAACTACATGGATGCCTGAGAACTTCCTGACATTACTACAGATTTAAATGAAAAGTGAATGCAAAGTACTCCTAAGTAAAGTGGCTAAGCCTTTCTATGTATTATCATATCTCACCGTGAATGGAGCTATATGAACTGAACACTTTATGACTTTATGACAGAGATGAGCATGCTGAAACGTATAAATAAGCAAAGCAATTAATTCAAGGAAAGCCCCCCAACCCCAGCCTCCTTTCAATGCATCTTATACTTGGGAAGTAACATATTGTTCATGCTAAAGTAGAAAGACCATCAAATTTTCTAAAAATCTGATGGTGGCACATGTCTTTAATGTAACTCAGGAGGCAGAGGCAGGCAGATCTCTATGAGTTTGAAGCTAGCCTGATCTACAGAGAGAATTCCAGGACAGCCAGGGCTATGCAGATAAACCCTGTCTTGAAAAACCAAACAGGGGTGAGAAGGTGATTTTATGGAATTTTTAAATTTTACTTCTAAGTAGCTTATGAAGTAGCTGGCTTCCCCTATGGCTTTGGATACATCCTTAGTTTTGGTTGCTCTTCTCCACTCCCCTCTTCACAGCCCCCATCTTTGTGTAAACTATTGCCCTCAATCTTCCTCATGCTGTGACCATTTAATACAGTTGTGGTGAACCCTAACCATAACATTATTTTTGTTGCTACTTCATAACTGTAAATTTTTTACTGTTATGAATCATAATGTAAATATCTGTTTCCTGATGGTCTTAGGTGACCCCCATGTGAAAGGGTCATTCAACCCCAAAGGGTTTTGACCCACAGGTTGAGAATCTGGTGTAAACCTTTCCACCCCTAGTATCTGCACATCAATTTTCAAATCATGTGTCCTCTACCCCCTCCTCCACCTAGAATTTTAAAACTTAAAAAGATCAATTCATGTATCTACTTTAATAAACACAAGTCTACGTACCTTTTTTCCCAATGCCATATCTAATGTTAAGTCAAGAAAAACACCTTGCTTTGGATTGGTGAAGTCCAGCACTTGAAACTTCTTAAGTAAGTGAACAGCTGTCTCTACTTCATAGATCCGCCGTGGGTACAAGCGTTTTAAGTAGACATCGTCTTCAGGATCACTTGCCATGTACGGATATGACTTTATTTTCTCTATATCATCTACTGGTTTTTTATCTGATGTCTTTTCCTTGGTACCTTTTTTAATTTTTCTTGCAGGCCTTAAAGCAAGATACATTAAGGTCAATTATATCAGAATGTATTCAAGGAGACCTTTTCTAAAAAGCTGATTTATATAAGACAGAAGAACTCAAAAGCACATACTGCTTTACAGTTTCCCTAACTCAACAAATACCAATGAATGTGTGCTGTTTCTAGTCAGCACAAGTGAGAGAGACAGGGTTGCTATTTTTCAGATGCTTACAAAGGAGAAAAGGGAAATACACATGTAAAGAGAGAGTCTCAACATACTATATTATTAAAGACACTTAGCAGGGTCTTATGAAGACCCTTGGCTCAGCCTAGGAGTTAGGGAAGAGCTGTGAAGGAGAAGAAAGGAAAACAGTCTTGATATACTCCCAAAAGAGCTTCATACATGCTGGGCAGTACATGTCTTTAGTCCCAGCACTTGGGAGGCAGATTTGAGCTGGTCTCTGTGAGTTCAAGGCCAGCCTGGTCAACAGAGCAAGTTCCAGGACAGCCAGGGCTACAAACACAGAGAAACCTTGGACTGCCCCCTCCAAAAACAAACAAACAAACAAACAAAAAAAAAACCAGAAAAAAATTGTCCATAGTAGCACTATTCATAACAGCCCAAAGGTAGAAATAACTTAGACTCATCTGCTAATGAGTGAAAACATAAAATATGCCATCTCACTATGATGGGATGCTTCTGTTCAGTTTTGAGTTTCAATGTCATTGTCACACAGATGTCACTATGTTTTCTACTTAGTCATCACCTTTCTACACTACTCTTGTTACTCCTCTTTGCCCCTTTGCTGGTCCCCACTCCTGCCCCCAAAGCCATCAATTTCCTGCTTTCCCATCACATGTGTCCCATTGCCTTCTCTTTAATATAATGAGCTCCAGTTCCATCATTTTCCTGAAGATGTCATAATACTTTTTTTTTAATGGCTAAAAAAATTTCATTGTGGATATGTGTCACATTTTGTTTTATCCATTCATTCATTCATGGACAAACAGGCTGACATTATATCTTAACCACAGTGAATTAATATATCAATACTCACAGGGAGATGTGCACAAATCTCTAGAATGTCTACTTAAAATCCCTGTGTGTAAGTACATAGGAGTACTATAGCTTTAAATTTTGTATTATATTTCTATTCAGTGTGCATGTGTTGGTGTGTATGCCACATATATGAAAGCCAGAGGACACCTTCTGGTAGCTGGTTCTTTCCACCATCTGAATTGCAGAAACTTAAGTTGTAAGAGTTCACAACAGGGACCTTACCCACTGAGCCATCCTGACAGCTCACAAGGCAGTTTAATTTACACTTTCCTGATGGCTAAGAATATTGAACACTTCCTCAATTCATTAGCCCACTTACTGACTGTATGATATTTTGTGTTTTTTTTTAATTCTTTATAGATCCTAAATATTGATTCCAGTCTGATATAGATGAATAAGATTTTTTTTTGTCCAGTTCTATAGGTTGTCTTTTCACTCTGGTGACTGTTTTTTCCTTTGCAATTTACACAGAATCTTAATTTCATGTAACCCCATTTGTCATCTCTTGGATGCTACTGAAGTGTCTACATGTTAAAGTACATAACAGAACATTAATCAACAACAAAAAGAACCAAGTACTTGATTCAGGCTACAACATGTATTAACCTTAAAAACAGTATACAACTACATCAATAGTATAGAATTTCTTTGTTATGTAGTGAAAGAAAAGTCACAAAACAACACAAATCATTCCATTTATACAAATTAGGATGAGGAGAAAATTAGTAAAGCACAAGCATGCACCTTCTGCACAAGCATGGGGACCTGAGTTCAGTGCCCAGAGCACACATTAAAAAGCCAGGTGTGGTGCCAAGTTCTTCAGATCCCAGTGCAGGGAAGGCCGAGATGTAAGGCTCCCTGGAGTTCACTCACTGGCCAGCCTAGCCAATCAGTTCACTCTAATCAGGGCCTAGTCAGGGACCAATGAGACATTCTGTCTCCAAAAACAAGATGGATGGCTCCTGAGGAGTGACAGCTGATGGTGATCTCTGCCCTACATACATAAACATGATCACACACATACACACAACCACACACGCAAACATATGATCTCTCACATATTAAAATAGTTAAGATAAAAAAACTCTCTTAGCTTTATAAACAAAATAAGCAAAAACAGATAGTAAACCAGCGCTGTCCCAATGAGCAGTTTCTTGACTCTGGAATTCAATAAAAGAAAGCAGGAAGATGGAAAGTAGGGTTGGAAACTCCATATCACAATGAGCAAAGAGGCAAAGAGAAACCAGTGTAAATTTCAAGCTGTAGAATATTCCAGCTGTAATAGGAGACAGATCTGAAGGAAATGAGGTGATACTCCCTCTTTTTCTTCTTAAGGAGGGTGGCCAAGGCTGAACAAACACTGATAACGCTGAAAGGACGATAGACTAGGAAAACATTTACAAGGTAAATACAAGAGATAGGAAATAGAAAGAACCATCTGTAACACCTTCTGTTGTGGAGGCTTGGGGAACCAGGTGTGAAAGAAATAGTATATCATTAACTAGAACCAGGAGGAAAAGTCAGACAGTTCTCTGGAGAAACCAGTAGTCAAAGGGATGAGCTCATGCCCAACAGGTTAAGTGCTCTTCATCTCCCCCTCTCTACTCAAGTCCCCAGGGAACAGAATACACTCCCCAGTCCACTGATCTGCCAATGTGACTCGTTTGCGCTGACAGAATAAGGAACTGACAGTTTCCCTGCTCTAAGTATAAGCCAGTGGAGGCTTCAATTGTTTACACATTAATGTATCTATTAGTGTCATTTTTCATAAACACAAGTCCAAGCTAAGAGCATGAGGGACACATGGACCAGAGCTGGCCCCACAGAGCCCAGGCTAAACTAGATGATGCTCAACTGACCTGCAAACTTGGTAGCACAGCAAGTCTGGGCCACCACACTTCCAGCCTTGGTCAGAAACCACATATGTGCATGCAGTGATAAGTAGTTGTGGTGAGGTCTATTGCATACAAAAGCTAGTGAGTGCTTACAAAATACCGAAGAAATAATGTCCAAAGGGGAAATGTAGGGAAGAGTTTAAAGCTAACAAACTAGGGGTAATATAACTGTTGAACATTTATTCAAAACACCAAAGTCTTCAATTAGTAAAAGACTATTTTAGAAAGATATTTGGGGTTCTGTTGTAAGCAGAACAGTGTCCACAAATGTGGCTTGTAAGTTAAATGTCCCCTACAGGGTTTGACTACTTGGTCCCCAGCTGGTGACCCTGTGTGAGGATACTGGGGAAGCTTTAGGAGATGGACCAGAGCTGAATTAAGTGATCTCCACAGGACAGGTCTTCAGGTTATAATAGCTCAGTCCTCCTTCCCCCTCTCTGGCTGCTTTTTTATCAATCCAGATTCGAGCAAGCAACCACATGCTCCTCCTACCACTGTCAAAGGCTGCTCCTGCCACCATGCCTTCTCTGACAGGCTCAACTGTACCCACAAACCATGAGCCAAAAGAAATCTATGTCCCCCAGCCCCCATCTTAGGCTGCCATTTGTAAGGTATTTTATAACTGATGAGAAAAATAATGCACCCCCAAAAGACAACCATGTCACGATATGTGACAAAAGAGACTTACGTGACTAAGATTAAAGACCTTAAAATGGAGAGATTATCCTAGATTATCATGGGCCAATCACATAGGCCCCTAAGAGTGAAAACTTCCCACTTCCCAGCTGGATCAGATGGAGCTGAGATGCTGACAGAAGTTCAAATGTGAAGGGGAAAACCTGCCACTGCTCTAAAATGAAGAAAGGGCACACAGGTAAAGGAAGGTGAGTAGTGTCTCAAACATGGGAGTGACTAGGAAACAGTCTCAGAAAATAACTACCAATAGCCTCATTTCGGTCCAATGTGCTCCATGTCAGACTCTGAATCTAGACAACTATAAAGCACAGGCTTGTGTTGTTTCAAGCCTCAACGTTTGTGCTAATCTGTTAGGGAAGTAACAAATAATATGAACAATAAATATGAAGCCTCATAAAACATATGTGAAATAACTAATTTTTTTTTAAAAATCTCAAACCCAATCTAATATAAAATTTCATTCTTGTTCTTAGCACTCAACAAATCCAACTATCACCACTAATAATAGTATCCTCCGAGTTAATGAGCAGTTGAACACACTGGCAAATGGTGATAATCTTCATTTTAATGGTGCAGGCATCCTTTCAGACTGCTGACAGCAAGCTGAAGGAAGTGCCCAGTGGAAGGGTGTGCTCTCCTGGTACCTACAAAATTCTTCAGCCCCCACACTGGAGCCCCCCTCCACTCTACGTTTACTAACGGAGAAACAGAGCCATAGAAGGCCAGCAGCCGATTAAGGAAGAAAGTGCTCCATTTAAAATTAAACAAAGGCTTTAGCTAGAGCCATCAAACTTACATCAAATAAAATCTTGATTCCACAGCTAATTTTTTCAGTCTTTTAATATGCAATTAACATGAAATCTCCAGATTTCATTTATAATTATATGTGTAATTATAAATATTTGTGAAGCTCGAAAAGTCTGATGAGGTTATGATGGTAAAGAGCAATGTACTGGGGTTGGGACTTAACTTCATAAACATTTGAGTTGATCAATGAGAACATTTTTAGGTTTCAAATGGAACAGTGCTTTAGGAGAAACTAAAATCTAGAATGACATCATCATAGCCTAGAACACATGGGACTCTCAGGAAAGTGGCACTGTTACTCATTTAATCTGTGTGGTTTAGTTACCCAGGTAACTGCAGATAGTTCTGTTTTCTTGGTGCAGCCTGCCAGGTGTCCTCTGCCCCCTCCCCCAAACCTTATCATGTAAGCTTGTCATATAAGCTTACAATCCCAGCTCTTGAGAGGAAGACAGGGAAGATCGCCAGTTCAAAGCCACCCAAAGCAACACAGCCAGACCAGATCAGACTAAGCCACTCATTCGTTCTGGGGATAAAGTACTTAGTCACTCAAGGTCCTGAGTTTCACCTCTAC